CGGACTTAGCCATCCAGCAATACGACAGATTTATCATATTGCTACAAAAGGAACTCATCAGCCATAAAGCAACGAAAGGTTACCCCACAAGGAACGCAACAACCCGGTCCTTATAGAAAGAACTCGGGAATCTCATAAACAGCCGGGACATCAGCAGAATAAAGAATGACAACTCAGAAGACAAGATTCTTTCCATCATAAATGGTTTCAAAAAATAGAAGATTACACATCTTACAAGACCCAACGAACTCGGTACTTCACGACAAGCAAGGTAGCAAAGAGGAACCCGGATTACGACTAGGCTTTGGAACATTGCGTGTTCCAAATTGCTACTCGGTAGAACAAACCGCTTTTCGGCCACATTTTCTTCAAAGGACGGACCTTAAGTGCATCCAAAGCGGAAATCAGCAAAGACGGCGGGACAACATAGACCGAGGGAAGCCGGCAAACATCTATCTACCCAAGTCCGATGTGATGCTGGATATGGTGTTGATCTGCACCGGACAGTCTCAGGGCAAGCGGCGAGGATCAACCCAGAACTGCTGGATGAAGGAACGTATCCCACATCACAAGACTTCCTCCAACTACCGCCACGTACTTTCTGGTACAATGCCACTGTGGGATTAGTCTACCTCTATCCCTATCACAAGACTCCCTCTAGCTACGACAAGATACACAAGAACTACAAAATACGCCCGGGGGCTGCTTTACTTCACAAACTACCATATTCATGACTACGAAGATTTCAGACCATGCAACAAAATGCTCGATGAATCAAAATAGCACACAAGAAGGATATTTATAGACCAAAGAAGCGGTGCACATGGACCGGGAGCACCAACGGAACAAACCTAACAAAGAACATAGTGAAAAGACAGAATTCAATGAAAGGGGACTCAGGCGTGAAGGAGCAGTACTAAAAACGAGCATATTCGGAAGAATATACCAACACTGTACAACTCGTGAACAAACAGCATTTACTATTAACCACCACCATACAACTACATCTGACAACAGCAGACTACCAGAGAACATGCCAAGATCTTGTATCCGAGTTCTTTTCGGATAAAAGAACCCAGGTATATGCTCGGGGGCTGCAATAAGAAAGGCTTTCAGTCCTTTGAACAACTCAGATTCAAGACGGGGCTGCAACAGAAGAGGTTTTTAGTAACTTGAACAACTCAGAATCAAGACCCTCCAACTCTTTGTTCCAAATAGCAAGAGGCTCGGGGGCTACACTCAGTGAGTGCACTTTTTTCTTTGAAAATGCGCACATCACTCAGAAGACTTCTTCAAGACAGCAGTTTTCAAACAACATAAGATTCAAGACCCTTCAACTTTTTATTCCAAATAGCAAGAGGCTCAGGGGCTACACTCAGTGAGTGCACTTTTTTCTTCTTCAAAAAGAGCACGTCACCAGAAAGACTTCTTCAAGACAGACCACTTCAAGACCTGATGACAAAAAGAACCCGGACCTAGCTATATCCGAGCTCTTTTTGATAAAGAACCCGGATATATGCTCAGGAGCCCTTCGATGAAGCATCAGAGCGACTTCAAGAAGACCCTCCAGCTCCTTGTGCCAAATAGCAAGAGACTCGGGGGCTAGACCCAAATGGGAGTACTTTTTTCGTCAAAAAGATACACACCACGTGAAGATCTCACGAAGCGCTACATGGTTTCGCCCAAGAAAGCACTCGAACGACGCTTGTTCCTGCTCGGGAAGACCTGAAGGAACAAGACGAGGCTTCCAGAGCTCAACCATGAAGTGCTCGGGGGCTTGTCGGTGCGGGACCCATGGGATACCCCACAAAGAAGGAAGAAGATCTAGTCTAAACTAGGATTTTCCTATGTAATCCTAGTAGTAGTATTATTCTATAATCCTACTAAAAACCCTCATTGTAAATCGACTAGGATTCTGACCTCATGATATATAAAGGAGGGCAGAGTTCCTAGAGAAGAGACTTTACGACACAACACTTGACAATCAATCCAACGCAAAGGCTAACGCCGACTGGACGTAGGGCTATTACTCGATCAACGATCGATGGTCTGAACCAGGATAAATCGACTGTCTCTTGCGTTTATCGTCGAGTTCCGCATACGCTGAAGCCCGAACAAACTGCCCCGGGTACCCCCGTGGCAGGCTATCGGTGGTGAAACATCGACAGGTGCCTAATAACAGGGCTTTACGCCCGCCATCAATGAAGCTCGAGCACTCATTTTCTTTTTCTATTCCTTATAGCTTACTCGGTACTCCTGTATCTTCGAGGGAGACATGGCGTGGACCCTTGTTGATCGGTCACATCACAGCTATTAGATTGGGCCGAACTTTCTCTGCTTACTCATCTCGGTTTAAGAAATACCTTTGCTTACCTCATTTTGCGCTTTAGAATGATTTTCGGGCTTTGTATTATGTTGTGATCAATTGACTTGAAGATAGCAAATCAAAGAAAAATATTGAATAGGTGAAATCCACGGTTGGTGAAGTGGTGCCTTGGAAGCACCTTTGCTAAACTACATACTCACTCCATTCCACAACAAAAAAACATTTTAGAAAACGAGTCGGCACGGTATCCCAGCTTTTTTAGCCTAGCCAAGCACGGCACTGGCTCGGTTGTCACTTGTCAAGATGCCTTTTTCACCCGATAACTAGGGCCATGCTTAGGCCGTGACCCAAGCATGTCCTAGCCATCGTCATTGCGTGCCCAAGCTAGTTCGGCCCGATAGCTAGGGCCATGCTTGGACTGTGACCCAATCACGACGCGCGACCTGGCCCGGTATCTAAAGGAAGGCCCGATGGAGGCCCACTCCAATTTATAAATCCCTCTCACAGTGTGAGACTAACCCTAACTTATTTCTTCTTAACCCGCGCCTCCGGCTGCATCTCTCCTCTCGCGATCCTTTGCACTGCTGGCAAAGGCCGCTTCCCTCTCACAAGATGCGCATGGACACCTTTGCCTCCCCTCGACAGCGTCGATACCGTCTATCTGCAAGGCAGACACCCTCCCTCCCTTCTCTCATCGCTGCCGGTCTGTCCCAAAGACCAAGATCCCAAGCACCGCCTGCCCCCATAGCCATGGTCCCGAGTGTCGCTACTCGCCGTCCACGAGGCTGGAGATCCCAAACCCCACCGCCACCAGCCAAACCCCCGGCGCCACTGCTCTGCCTCGGAGGCCGAGATCTTGAGCACCGCCGCTCTGCCCCAAGGCATGAGATCCCAAGCACCGCCGCCCCTAGCCCTGGGCCCCCATGTGTTGCCGCCTCCGCCCCGGGAGGTCGGAGATCCCGAGTGCAACTACTCCCGCCCTGGGAGGCGAGAGACCCATAGCTGGCGACGCCTCGAGAAAGCACCACCGCCTCTGGCCCTAGAGGGCGGAGACCCAGCGCCACAGGTGTCCCATATCAAGGCTAGAGATCCCAAGTGCCTCTCTATCCTATCGGTCACTTGCTCCAACTGTGGGCTAGCCCAACCTTCTTGGGAGTGTCGTGCTTCCCAAGTTGGCTAGTCCGAAAAATAGCTCGAGTGTCGTGCTTGGTCGAATGCCCAGCCCGTGACCCTAAGAGGCACTGGCCCGAGCTGACACGGCTTGTCGTGCTTGGATCGGTCACACACAGTCGTGCCTAGCTCAGGCCGGACATTTGGCCATCTATATTGACATGCTCATAAAGGATCTCGCTTTCTCACAAAGAACAACCAAAGTGAGGGACTAAGGGAAAGGATAAGCCTCCTCCCACACCATTAGTTTTTTCATTTTTTTATTTCTATATATATTTTGGACCATAGCGAGATGATGGATGGACCAGTGATGTACTTGGTATAGGGTGGAATCCACACTTTAGAATAAAATATTACTGTTCTTTTGAGATACATTTCGAATGCTATCATGTCATTTATTGTGGGACGGAGGAAGTAGTCCTAATAAGTGTTGGAATATGCTACTGATTTAACTAGTTTTTTTCTCGAACCAGTTTGTTTTCCTAACCTTGATCAAATCTGTAATGGAAGCATCAATAAGTGATTTACATCCGATCCAACCCCATGCACCTTGGACGCTCGGGCAAAACCATGCCAGTGGAAAAAAAACAATAGGAACTTTGCAATACTTTGGAAGATGAACAAGTTTAGAACTGGTTGAATTGACATGAGGTTTGGTGCAGTTATGTGACAGATCTTACTCATCTAAAATAAAACTATATGGTTGTTACTTAATCCATGGAACAAACATCAACCCACTCATCAGACACGTTGAAAGAATATCAACCGCCAATACCAGCCATACTGGATCTAAAAGCCCGGATACACATTCGGCCATTGTGAGATGCCGAGATTTAAATCCAACAAGACAGTAACACAAAGACACAAACAAGAACTCGATTGTCCCTCCAATTGCATTGCCTTTGCAATTGGATGATTAGAACACCAAAGCACCCATTTTATTTATTTATTTTTATTTTATTTTTGTCGTCAAGGCTCAAGGGGTAAAGACGGTATTAATGAAAAATCCTTATTTATTTATTTTTGTTAAGAAAAAGAAAGAGCTCATAATGAAAAAACCCGCGGGAGGCCAAGCAGCCGATTCCGACTCTTCTTCTTCTTCCAGCTCACAACAGGTTGGCGCGTGAGGGATACGCGACTCATCTTCCCAAAACCGACTCGTCTTCCCAGGCAATAAAACCCCAGCGCGTCGGCGTCGCCTCCACCCCGCCTCCCAGAACAAGAACAATCGATCCCCAAAGTTTTCGATTCCTGCTATCTTGATCTCGATCTCCCGACCACAGCTCCTCGCGCGGTTCGCGATCTCGACCCGGCGGCTCCCTCGATCGATTCCGGCGAGGCCGCAGGTGCTCCTCCTCCTCGCCCGATGTCCGCAGGTGCTCCTCCTCCTCGCTCGATCCCGCTCCTCTCGACTCGTCGCCCCTTCGGCTCCTGTTGCGATGCCGAGCCCACCTCCGGCCCCACCCGCGGCGGCGGAGGATAAGAAGCGTTCCTCTCGCCGCCGATGAAGGTGAAGCTGCTTTTTCCGTACGCCGTGTCCTGCGTGTTCGGCGGCATGGGCCGCGCCTGGGGCATGGCTATGGTCGGGCTCCACATTATGATCTGCATCGTCAAGGTCATCTCCTTCACTACTGACCCCGAGGAGGCCCGCTTCTGGATACCGATCTTCCGCGTCTGGGTGTACCTCTGCATGCCACGGTGGTCATGACGTGCGTGTGCATCGTCTGCTACATGCCCGTGTATGGGGTGTACGCCATGAGGTACGATCCGCCGCCGCCGCAGCCGGCAGCGGCTGCGGCGGTGCAGCTCCCACCTCCCCTCCAGAGATGGACATGTGCTAGGTTTGGTCTGTGCGTGCGGTATGTGTTTCGTTGCTTGCCCCAGGTGCGTTCTCTAACCTGTTCTTCAAGTCTCTGTTTTAGTTGCTTACTTATAGGTGTTGCTGCCCACCTTGCTCAAGGTACATTCCTTCCCTTCCCGGCCCTATCTTTGGTTCAGCACTTTTATTGTCGTATTGCTTAATTATGCAGCTACAAGTATCTGAAATCTGAAATATTAAGTTTTCAAAACTGAAAATATCTGGATTTTAGGTTCCATATATAGTATAGTTGTTCATGCACCCATATGGTTTGGTGCAGATTTCTTTGTTTGTGCTAGACAAATCTGTTTTCAAATTGTTTAGGCACCACTAAAAATTGGAAGATGCTTCAGGTCCTTCTAGCTATTAATTGGTATGTTTTTCAAGGCTATGCTCAATCTATCTTTTATAGAACAATGAATCCACAATGTGATGATACTTCAGTAGTTGCATTGTGGGAGCACTTCAGTGGCTAGAAATTTGTTAGTTATTGTCCTAGTATGTTTTTCCTCGTTTCTTACTTTCTGTATTTTTGTTATTTGTGATAAACAGGCTTGGTGATGAAAAGATCAATGGAAGGACCAGTGTGCTGAAAAGATTTTGCTTTCTCTTGCCCCACCTGCCGAAGCATAGATAGAGGACAGATGGTGGCAAACATCAGTGAAAAGCACATCACTTGACGGCCCGAGCTTAACGTGACCATCACAGAAAAGTGGAGGAAAAGAGCAACCTGTTGAGTGCATGGTAACAAAAATGCCAGCGCACTGAATAAGGATAGAACACAACAAGTGGAGCAGGAAAATACTGCAAACCAAGTGGGAGAAGACCCAAGTTCGAAGTTTTTAACTGCAATAGTTATTACTTTTGTGCAGCTTGAAGTTTCTCATTTGCAGTAGCTACTTTTTATTTCATAGTTTGTTCAGTATCTTTAGGAAAGATTGAAGAAGATATGGTGTATAGTTCAAAATAGTTGTTTAGACTGCTTGTTTCAATTTTGTTCATTCAGAAGGTGCTTTTATGTCTCTATAAAAGAATTTCTAGTTGCCATTTGTCTGACCTGGAGTAGTGTTAGAAATAAATTTGTTTGAGTTCTTAATAATTTATCACTTTCTCTAGTTCTACTTGGGTTTCTTTTGTTTCCTGTGGTGTTTCTGCTGGGTTTTTATCACTCCTGGTGACCCAAGTGTGACCTCTGTAGTATATGCACAAAAATAGCAGCAGTGTTGAAAAAGGTCTGAAAATTTTGTAAAGAATGGTACAGAACAAAGATTTCTATAATAGTTTATTTATGCTATTTTAGTATCTGACTGTACTATGAAAATGGGACAATAGGCAACTAGCATCTAGTACTTCCATTGCATGCTGATTGGGAAGTCTAATTGAATTGTGATGACTGCCTAGTCTTGGGTCTCACACATAGGCGATTTGCGGCATATGCGAATGGCTATGTGATCCCTTTCTGCAAAATGGAACAGCTAAGGATTTTATTTTCCCTTTTTGTGCGCATAAAAAATGGAATGAACTGACTAATACAATTGTACTGTGACACTAATTTTGTTTTATGTTTTGGAATCAGCTAGTCACTTGATATATGTCAAAACTGTTAATCTGGTAGTATTTTCTTGTTAGTGACGTTGATAGCTAATCTAACATTTCGTTTGTTTGACCTTTTGAATTATTATTTTGCAAACCTTCAGGTCTGGGGACAAAGATAATGCTAGATATCGCCTAGTTGGTGGCATTGAGCATTGCAGGAGGACCCTAACAGGGGGGGGGCACTTTTGATTATGTGAGAGGAAGCAGGATTGTCCTTGAGCAGGAGACGAGCAATAGCTCTTCCGCTTGGTTTCGTGCTAATGATAAAAGCATCAGAGAAGTGTCTCTAGACGAAGTTCTCAAGTGCGACGCTTTCCTTCTTTTCTATGAGAGAAGATAGAAGCTTGAGACATGCATCATATTATGCCCAAGTAATAAAATGAGCAATCAAATGGCATTGGCAAGCATGATTTGCTGAGGATCCATTCAGTGCACTCAGTCCATACATGTACTGCTTTTGCTGAGGCAGTACAAGCCGGATGTAAGCTTACAACCCGTTTCTTCTCTCCTTTCTCTTCTCTCCTCCACCTCAGCATTCAGCCATCTATTATACTTGCTCTGCTCTTAGCCCTTGTAGGACAAAAATCATTAGCATGACAGCCTGGTAGAAGTGATTAGATAATTGACGTGCGTTATTTCGGGAAGCAAAGCGTCCGTCGCTTTTAATCACCCCTGTTCGGTTGGTTGGGGCTAGGCTGGTTGGGGAAAATGGAGTGGGCTGATCCTGTTCGCTGGTTGGTTCATGGCTGATTTGAATTCAATAGGCCCATTCAAAATATGGCGCCAACAGCCTAGATTTCACTACACATTTGGTGCCAATGAACAGTAAAATGAACCAACAAGGCATACATTTCATACAAGACAGACACCTGTGTGTCAATATACAGTCCTCTGGCGCCAGATATAGCACAGGAGAAGCATATTCCCTCGTGGAAAAATTTGTATCTAACACAAGCACAATAGGGCACATATGAAATTCACTTAATAATACAAGCTACATGATGGAACTACCAAACAAAACAAAACAAAACAAAACAAGAGAGCCGCAGACAAGAAAGGCTTTGTAACAAGCACTAGGGAGGTTGTGGCATACCCTCTCGTGCACTCCTTCCAACACAGTATTCTACAACACATGGATTATACCTGCACCCCAGTGCCAAGCAACATTGGCTTACTCTGTAATAAAGAAAGAGACAATTGTCAAATTCATATCCATTTGCATTTGTAATCATCAACTTGCCACTAGCACCATTGGCTTACCTGCACCCAAATATGTCGGTCCATGGGTAATCCACATCCTCACATTGTCCATGGAATCATTTGCACTTGTAGTAAGCCAACGCACCGATAGTGGGCTTAGTGGATGGAGTGGCTTAGTTACTTCATTTTTCAAGTAGTTATTGATGTAGACAAGGCCCAATCTTCCGAAAGGTATGATAACGTCGATTGGTGGAAACTCGACGTTCACGATCTAGGCTTTGAACCAAGACTGATTTGAACCCCATAAACCGTTACACCATCGCTCCGTTGGTTATCAACCACGCGAACGCGATTGACCTCGCCGAGAAGGCTTTCCTACAAGCGATTCGAGAACTCAAGCAAGAACGGGACGAACGCAACCTAAAATTGCAAATAGACATGAGGCTTATGAAAACAAGGAGGAGTTCAAGTCTTTATTCGAAAGGACTAATCACCACAAAGTAACAAGATCAAGAACTAGGGCCTGGTTCGCGAAGAAGCAGCCTTGGCGGCATAGTTGCAAAGAAACGACGTATGTTTCACGAGGAGATCAAGAACTAAACAAAACCCAAATCCTAAGGAGAGCGACGGCTGCTAATTATAAAGTCATGGGCGTCACCTCGCTGGCCCCCCCCTAATGGGCCCAAACACGATACACGGTCCAACGGACCAAAAGACGGTGTCGCAGCACCTCGACATGATTCTGGACACCGACTTGTTTCGACAATTCCCGTTGATTCCAAAGGGCTTTTGACGTGAGACCACTTGCATTGGCTTTCTTATCTAATTAGCTTTCCATCCATACGTGGATCGTAAAAACGGAGCTCGACGCGCTCTGTGTGACCAGTTTTATGACAGACTGGTCCTGGAACCCGAGATGGGCTCGAACTTGATTTGAGCCTCCGCCTTTGGTGACTCGAATCGGATGAGCTTCGGGCCTCCTTCTCGGTTAGGACAATCTCGCTGATCTCCTCGGCCTCTATCTCCAAGCAAGGTCATATGCATGGAGCTAATGTCCTTACCATCCTCCCTTTCTTGATGAAAAGCCGTCCTCAAGCGCCGATTGTGCTTGAAACCGATCCTACACAACACAAAGGAGAAGCGGGTTACGAAGACAAAGGGACCTGAAATAATTGTGAGAAGGAACATGACCATGTTTCCAAGTTTCTAGCGTGTCATCTCGCATAAAAATTTCAGCAAGCATAGGGACTCCATGATCCGAATGCACACACGATGTATGTCAACACTATCCTGCAAAAAGATTAGAACTAACCAAAGACAAAGGCTGCGGGAATAGATGGTCTAGCAGGACATAGGTAGCAACCAACAATGGTCCCCTTCTTGAAGTGAACTTATTTCTTTGAGGAACATGAGAAAATGTTTGTATTATTATAGCTGCCCTCTAAACAATCATAATCTTGTACAACAAAAGGAGAATTCATATTAGTCTGAACGTGATACTCGATGTATCATATATTGTCCTTTGTTGTTATATTTGCCAATAACATGATATGTGTGTTTAGAAAACCAAGGCAAATCAACATATTTAAAAAGGCTCTCTCCAAACAATCTAGGTTATACAAAACATCAAATTCAATGTAACCCAAAGTATGTAAAGAAGACAACAGTTTGAGCTCATCGGGTTTTAGTAGTAATATGAATAACATGTTTATTTTTAGCACAAGTGATTGGTTCAAAAACATGTAAAACTAAAGCATCATCAACCAATTCATCTTTATCACAAGGAACATCAAGCAAATTATCATGGGACAAAGATAAAGTCAAGAGAGGGTTCCACTAACAATTGCTCTATGATAGCATGGTTTGTGGAAAAATTTAGTACATTAAAATAATTCTCACCTTCCGTTAGTGTAGCACCATGGGCATTACCTATGTTCTCAGCAGGAGTAATAGGTGCATTGTGAAGTAATGGTTCGAATTTGCATATGAGGTTGTGAGCTCCTCATTTTCTTCCATGTCATCCTCTCGCTTATGTACATTATCCTGCAGAAGGTTAGTCATAGCAAGAGGAATAACAATGAGACTCTTCCTCTAAATGGTGCACCTCATCATATGAAGTCAAAACAGAGGTGGATTAACAAAGGTTTCTCATGATAAAGAGTTTCATATCATTCCAAGTTTGAGGTTTATCAGGAAGGATCTAAAGACTCCCACCAAGATAAAGCGTAATATCATAAAAAACACTATTTGCATTTTTACCTTCCTCCTTGGACAAATAAAGCGAGTAGCAAATATGTTGTATATGGCAATTTCCCTCCATATACTCAACAAGCACCTATACCATCATAAGTCGGTGGATACGAACAACTGTCATTGTTAGAAGACAACAAAAGACAACACAAAAGTATTATCCCTATCAACTAGCAACCTCTTGGGTGGTGGTGAAAGTGGAAAGCAATATCTCAAACGGACTTACCACCATCTTGCAAGTGTTCTTACCAAAGCCAACAAAGCGGTGCAATCAATCGGTGATCGTGGATACCGTTGTAACTTGAGTGTAATAAGTTGCAAGACGAACCTATACTTGGTTAGAAGAAAGTGGAGCTTGGACAGGACACAATATAGTAGCAAGGAATAGCAATATTCGTGAATCGAATAGCAAAGTGAATAAGTATCCCGAGTACTTGATGTAGACAAGGCCCGATCTTTTCGATAGGTGCGATAGCGTCGATTGGTGGAGACCCGACGTTCACGATCTAGGCTTTGAACCAAGACCGATTCGAGACCCTCATAATCGTTACACCCACCGCCCGTTGGTTATCAACCACACAAACGCGATTGACCTCGCGGGCCGAGAAGGCTTTCCGCAAGCAAATCGAGAACACAAGCAAGAATGGGATGAACGCAATCTGAAATTGCAAATAAATATGAGGCTTATGATAACCCTCAGAATCACGTATACATTAATCGCTCCATTGGTTATCAACCACTTGAACGCAATTGACCTCGCCGAGAAGGCTTTTCCGCAAGCGAATCGAGAACACAAGCAAAAATAGGATGAACGCAATCTAAAATTACAAATAAATATGAGGCTTATGATAACGAGAAGGAGTTCAAGTTCAAGTCTTTATTGAAAGGACTAATCGTCCAAAGCGAACAAGATCAAGAACCGGGGCTCGGTTCACAAAGAAGCTGCCTTGGCGGTAGCAGATTGCAAACAAAATGATGTCATTCATGAGGAAATCAAGAACTAAACAAAACCCAAACCCTAAGGAGAGCGACGACTACTAATTATAGAGCCCCGTACGTCACCCCCCTGGACGTGCTCCCTAATGGGCTCTAAGACGATACACGGCCCAACGGACCAAAAGACGATGTCACAGCACCCTGGCAGATTCTGGACACTGACTTGTTTTGACGATTCCCGTTGATTTCGAAAGGCTTTTGATGTGAGACCACTTGCATTGGCTTCCTTATCTAATTAGCTTTCCATCCATATATGGATCGTCGAAAATGGAGCCCGGACGCGCCCGTGTGACCAGTTTTATGACAGACTGGTCCTGGAACCCGAGATGGGCTCGAACTTGATTTGAGCCTCCACCTTGGTGACTCGAACCGGATGAGCTTCGGGTCTCCTTCTCGGTTATGACACCCTCGCTGATCTCCTCATCCTCTATCTCCAAGCATGGCCGTATGCATGGAGCTCATGTCCTTATCATCCTCCCTTTCTTGATGAAAAGTCATCCTCGACGTCGATTTTGCTTGAAGTCGATCCTGCACAACATGAGGACAAACGAGGTTTCGAAAATAATGGGAATGGACAATGTTGTGAGAAAGAATATGACCATATGTACAGGTTTGTAGCATGTCTTGTCCTACAGACATGTAGTCTGCTCGATTGAAATACACACGATCTTTGTCAATACTATCCTGCAAAAGATTAGTACTAACAAGAAACATATGCTCCATTTCTTTGGATTCCACTTATG